GTTTTTTTCACACCAGTCATGTGATCAACAATTGGATGCTACTACTGGCGGAAATGAAGAAGACGACGGCAGGAAGTGGTAGGAGGGAGACGATGCTGCGCATTTTTTAATGTCACGTGAATAAACTTTAACGTGAGATTTCAAATTTTTTTCTTAGTTAATGGAAACGTAGCAGGAATCTGTTTTTCCACGTTAGCGGCACACATGAAACGCAGCTGGAGAGTGTTAACGGTGTGTGTGTGCTCGGGCTGGGTGTGTGTGTGTGTTCAGGTCCTGGGCCATCACAACGCCCACCTGGACCCTCTGGGGATCAGCTGTGTGAATTTTGACGACGCTCCGGTCAGCGCCGGCTTCCAGGATGTCGGTGAGACGCCAGAACAGAACCAGAACTCTGGTGTTAACGTTGCTCTTCCTCCCACCCATCCTCCTCCTCCTCTAACCCTCTAACACTCCCCCTCTGTTGTGACTCTTCATCACTCTTCCTCCTCCTCCTGTCCTGTCCTGGGTGGGTTCTGTGTCGCCCTCTGTAGATCCGGGGGCACCACGTGGCCCAGCTGGACCCGCTGGGCATCATGGACGCCGATCTGGACTCGTGCGTTCCCACTGACATTATCACATCCTCTGACAAGCTGGGTGAGGACCTCCACCCTCAGAGTCAGCCTCCACCTCTTTCCCTCCACACTCACCCCAGCTGGAAGGTTTCCCCGATCGGGAATGCGTCCCACACTAAAATCCTGGATGTGCGCCAGAGGAAGTTCCCTCTGAAACGTTCTCACATGCCAGGAAGGTTCCAGCGTCTCGTTCAATCGTCCATCATGGCGTCTGGAGACTTCTGGTATATGAAGAACGTCTAGAGCATTAACCCACAGATCTCAGCTAACTGGAGCTTCTCTACTGGTTTGTCTTCTGTTGGAAGTCAAACCAGTAGAGAACTAAAAGTTTGTAAAAATGGCAATCACTGTTTTTAATCTTCTGTCTCACTAAAACAAACATAATTGTTGGCCTTATTGTTTTAGACGGTGGTCATTAAAATTCCTTCATAAAGACTCAAAGCTGGGAGAAATGATCAGATTATCTGTTTTCTGACTGAAAACTCTAGTTCAGACTAAAACCAGCTTTTATCCATTAAACGCCTCCAGTGGGACTTTGATCGCCACCTAGTGGTGGAGTGTGATTTAAAACACTCCCATCTATTTTTAGATTGGAATGTGAAACTGCACTGGGACTAAAGAATCCCAGGAAGTTGATCCACTTCCCCTCTCTAGCATCAGGTAGGCCCAGTTTTACCTCCAGCTAATGTTTATGATTATCCCTTCAGGGTTAGCATAGTTAGCGGTGCTAATGTTCAGATTTAGCATAGTTAGCATTTTAGTTAGCGGTGCTAATGTTCAGATTTAGCATAGTTAGCATTTTAGTTAGCGGTGCTAATGTTCGGATTTAGCATAGCTAACGTTTTAGTTAGCGGTGCTAATGTTCAGATTTAGCATTGCTAACGTTTTAGTTAGCGGTGCTAATGTTCAGATTTAGCGTAGCTAGCGTTTTAGTTAGCGGTGCTAATGTTCAGATTTAGCATAGCTAATGTTTTAGTTAGCGGTGCTTATTTTCAGATTTAGCATAGCTAGCGTTTTAGTTAGCGGTGCTAATGTTCAGATTTAGCATAGCTAACGTTTTAGTTAGCGGTGCCGACCACTGATCATAGTGACGCCCTAGAATCCTGAGATGATCTGGGCTGTGTGACATGGATCAGAACGCGGTCCGCTGTGGTGACTGAATGATGCTCAAAGGTCCAAAGTGACCCAATAAACCCTCCACCACCAGTATGACCAGGTGGTTTCAGTAGAGACCTGGTGGTACCATCAGTGGTACCATCAGAGTAGTTTTCCACATCAGGGTCATTTAGCTTTAGTTCAAACTTCCTGTTGGAGGACCAATCAGGGCTGCTTTTGGTCTGAACCTGAGGATCCATCACCAAGATGTCTGATCAGTTCCTGCTCTGCTCTGACTGAACTAGCTCTATGTATAGAGGTATAAACATAGACCGTGGCTTCTTGCTGACTTGTCAGCTCTGAACGCTTGTTGGTTCTGACCGGCTGGAGGATTGTTGGGTCACTGCTGCAGCTTCCGTGTCTGTAATTAATGCTAATGATAGCAGCTAGCAGCTTTAGCTCCAGTTGATGTGAAGATCTGAGTCATGATTGGAGGAGAGAGGAGATGGACGTCATGTGACCCCGCCCCCAGAGCGGCTGGCAGGTCAACATGGCCGCCGCTTTGTTTAGTCCTGAACTGAAAGGAAACCCTGGAGATTAAATGATCCAGCATGACCAACGTCAAAGACCCGGAGGTCATCACCAAAGATGGACCATCAGAACCAGGAGAATCATCAGAACCAGGAGAACCAGAGGAAAGTTCTGGTTGCTGTGATTATAAAGTTTGCTTCAACATTTTTGGTTAAAATTTAAAAACACAATGTCTGAATCCTCCAGATGTATAAATAATTTTGAGCCGGGTACCAGACGTACAGTGTTTAGAACCCGATCAGAACTCAGGTCCACATACCAACAGAACCAGCCCACTGTGACCCGGTGCCTCTGATCCACAGAGCCCAGAGCTTCAGGATGTTCCATAGGTTAGAAGGACCCCACATCAGTGTCTGACCTCAGCGTTACTCCATACCATGTGCCAGGAATCTGACCCGGTACCGGTTCTGCTGCTGGACTGGAGGCTCACCTGCTCAGAAGGTTCTGGTTCTGGTCCACACTACTGAACTGATCAGATCAATGGATCAGAACACATTCAAAACGGCCACAGCTTTAATTAACCAGAGAAGAAGAAACATTATGGAACCAAGAACCTGGTCCACAACGGGCCAAGCAGAACGAACCCGACCCTATTCAGATACAAACGGTTCTGTTGGGCCAAAGTTAGAAACGCTGTTGCTTTGCTGAACCAGGAATTAGCCGCATTCCAGCGGAATGGCTTGCTGCTGTGGTTCTGAACCAGGAATTAGCCGCATCCCGGTGGAACAGTTGTGGTTCTGAACCAGGAATTAGCCGCGTCCCTGTGGAATGGCTTGGTGCGTGGTTCTGATTGGGTCGAGTTCTGACTAACCCCAGCATGGTGTGACCTTCATCTCTCCCTCGCTGCGCCGGACCCGGAGGTTCTGTAGAACCGGGCGGTGCTGGGGGTGCGGAGATGCCACGGGCCGGATGGTGTTGGTGTGGTGGTGGCGGTCAAACAGGCTGACGGTCATTAATGTTGTCTGGGTGTTTCTCCCCATCGCTGCCCCCTGCTGGTGACCTCCAGACGTGGCTGTGCTCAAGAAGAGGCTGAGGTTCCTAACGGTAGGAGGTAGGAGACGCTGCTGCTGCTGCTGCTGCTGCTGCTGCTCTGTAGATCGGCTTCACTTCGCTGCTCAGCTGTCTGCCGGTTCTGACCCGGTCCATCACATTGCAGCTGTCCTCTCCGTCTCGGTCCAATGGTCAGTCGGGATGGACACCACAAAGCAGAACATCCTCCGGTTCTGTTCAGTTTTTATATAATTAGCTGCAGTTCGGTAGAAAAGTTTTCGACCCTCTGGATGTTTTACGTTTCGTTGCGTCTCTGAATCCATCAACATCAGATAAATTAGCTTTTTCACCTAGAAGAAAATAAGACGTTAAAGCTGCAGAACCTAACTTCTAATGAGACAGATGACCTGTGAAAAGATCCATCTCCTGGAGCTAGCCTGAGCTAGCATCGCTACCGACCAAAAACAGCCAATCAGAGCCTGGAGGCAGGTCTTAGCGCTGTCAATCATCTTCATGTACTCGCTGCTAAATGTGCCAACGGCGTAGAAACGATTTACAGGAAAACCGTTAATCTGTCGTCATCAGTGGCTATGCTAACAAGCCTTAGCATTGATGACAGCATATGCTGGCTGCAGAGAGCAAGGGACGGGAGAGGGATGAGCAGCGCCATACAGGATAGTGATGTACAGCGCCAAGACCCGCCTCCTGGCTCTGGTTGTTTCCAGTTAGCACTGGGAACACTGGAAGCTCGATGTTTTCACAGATTATCTGCATCATAATGGTTTATAACGGTTATGTTTTGCAGTTTAAGGTCAAAGTGAAACTGATTTCTACAAAATAATGACAGAAATGTTAACATTGAAATGAAGGATTGTATAAATATTCACAATCAGTTTAAAGTGACTGACCTAATCCAACAGAGGTCCAGCCAAATGGCGCCTCTGAACTGGACTCTTTGATAATGCAGCGCAGCATGCGTATGAAAACATGCGGCTCCGGATGCAGGCTGGTGTTTTTATTGGCAGTTTGAGTTACCATGGCAACACAGTTAGCCAAAAACCTCGCCTTTAAAGCACCGTGGGAATATTTGAGGATTTTCTGCGTCGTCACAGTTTCAGATAGATATGGATGAACCTGTTCTCCGTTCAGACGTTTAGTCTCTGTAGTTTTTCCTCTCGGCTCCAAAAGTTTGAGGACAAACTGATTTCAGTGAAACTGCCGGTCAGTCAGGATGACGGTGTTTTTATTTCACCGAGATTCTTTAATTCACTGTTATGACAGGTTTGTGTTTACTGTCATGAGTTTTGGTCGCATTGTTGCCCCGTCTAGAAGAGACGGTTTCCTGTGGAAATGAAAATCCAGTCTAATCTGTAATAGGGCTGTTGTAAACAAATATTTTAGTAATCGAGTAATCTATCAATTATTTTTACAACTAATCGGGTAATCGGATAAAAAAAATAAAATAAAATATTGGTTAGTTTGGCATAACAGCAGTGTTACTGTCAGATATCACATCAGTCCAATTTTCAGCTTCCCTAACAGAAACTAACCTGTAACAATAACAGCTCATTTCTAAGTTACCCTGAAGAAAAGTTACACAAAGATCTGAAATTATATCCAATGTAATAATAAAGAGCCAGGCTCACAGATACGCTGATAAAAATGATCCAGCTTTTAGTTTCTGTTCGTCTTCAGTGAGTTTAACAGATGAACTCTCACCTTGGCCCAAACCTGCCAAGCTTTGGGTTTGACAATACGGGAAATGTCTCCTGGATTGGGGGGTTTGGGGTTGGAGGGCAGGCGAAGTAAGACCGGAGGAGCAAAACGGGATATTTACGGCCCCTCCGTTCGTCACTCAGAAACTCATCTACCAGCCATGTTCCGCCTCCCATTGGTTCAGACCGGGATGATGTAAATGTATCGTCGGTTCGTCCTAAACCTGCTCTTCCACGGTCAGCACCAGCCGCCCGCCGTGTTCAGCCTCTACCTGTAGAAATCCTCCTCAGCTCTGAACCAGCAGCTCCGGAGCAGAAAGGCTGCCGGACTCCCGGATCGCTCCGGTCATTTAAGGATGATTATTGGTTCCCCGAAAACGATGAAAACCCGGAATTATCACTAATCAATAAAATCCCCGCGGGCCGAACTTGAAGATTGGACGTTATGATGATAGCTCTTAGCTTACGTCACAACTCGGAGGCGGAAGTCGGAGCTCTGTGCAACGCAAATAATGTTCCGGCCGGAACACGGCGCGCTAAATGATAAAACATAAACTAACGAAGCTGAGAGGCAGGAACATTTTCCTGGAGGAATTTTAGTGATCGAGGAACTCGAATCATTAGAGGAATCGTGTCAGCCCTAATCTGTAATCCACTCTAGTTTTCACTTTCATGTTTTACAAAATTATAATTTTGTAAATTGTCTTAAACTCAGATTATGTTGGTCAGGATTTCTTTATGAAGTTCCCACAGAACTCCTTACTGATGTCAGCGGTCTGGATCTGGACCAGTTCTGGTCTCAGAGGCCCGGTTCTGCTCCTACAGTTTAAATGTCTGATCCACTTTAGAGCCGTTCTGGTTCTGGAACCGTTCCTGGAGCAAACATTCGGACCAGAGCTCGCTCCTGTCCCCCCTCCCCTCCCTGTTTCTGAAGCTTCTAGCTGCCAGTCGCTTCCTGCTTTGCAGATATGAGAGGCCAGAACCGGGTTTTAACTGGGTCAGAACCAGATCAGGTTGGACATGGTTCGGTTCTGAACATAGGAGCTGTAGGAGCTTTTCCATTTTCTTGCTGAGTTCTAGAGAACCTCAGACCTGAGTTCTTCTTAACGGAACCGGTTCCTGGATCCAGTTTATGACAGACGGATCCGACTGAAACCAAGAACTCGTCTGCTCTGACTGGACCGGGTCCTCAGGTCCAACTGACCCGGTGTCTCCAGAAAAGCCTCGGCCCGGTTCTGCTCTCTGAAGGTTGCAGGACGTCGGCGGCTCGAATCCGGGGGTAAAAAGTCCAGATTCCGTCCGAGTCGGTTCCCATGGAAACGGGAGAAAATGGGTCAAAAGTTTCTTTAGAAGAAATTTTTAAACATCAAACAGAAGAGAAGAAATCATTGGGGCACAAGATATCCAGAAGAGAGACAGACTCCAGAGACGACCCGAGACCAGAACCAGGAGGAAGAACCTGAGCAGCGTCCTACTGGTTCAGACGGCAAAACCAGTGAAACCAGAGAGACCCGACATGCTTCCATTAAACCTGCGGGGTGTAACCGGTTTGTCGTTTGGCAAGGAGCAACGCCAACACCTGCCGACTTCACTCATCAACGTCCAGTCAGACAGGAAGTCTCCAACCCAAACCGGAGTAAACAAACATGGCCGCCAGGGAAGAAGCAGTGCAGACGGTTTGTGGACGACATTAAACGTCTCCATCGTCCATCGTTTTGGATTCCCCTCCACGTTTCCGTCACCTCGCTTCCTGATTGGCTGACGTCACACTCAGCAGGCTACGACATCGGGCCAGGAATATTCTGGATCCGTCCGGATAGCCTCCCGTCCAGATCCGGTCGCTCTGAACTCTCATCATCCAGATCATCTTCAGATCGCCAGGAGGAAAATCTCAACCTACAGCTCTAACCGCACGACCAGGCCGCTCAGACTGTGGCGCCTCCATCAGCGGAGCGCCAGAGGTAGAAGGGGTCAGAGGTCATCTGGGGCGTTTTGGGTTTTTCCAGACTCTTCATCAGATGCCTCAGAGATTCTGTTGGTACCGCGATGAACATCAGACCTGAGATCTGCTGCAGGGCTTCCTGTGATTAGTTGAGTCTGTGTGAGCAGAACTCTGATTGGCCGAGAGATAATCCCCCTCCCCACCCAGGTCCTCTTTTCTCACCTGTCTCCATCGTAACGCCTCGCCCCGCCTCAATAACACGTTCATGTCATCTGTTCATGCGTCTGCAGAGAAGCAACATGTTACCGTCAGAACCAGATCTGGACCCGTCCTCTCTGGGAGACCAGAGCTGGAAAACCCCAGAGATTAGATTCACTAATTACTACGCCAAAGAAAACCGCCCTACTGTAACCGTGGCAACACGTCAGCCTTTAATTTGTAGTTCATCCTCTGGTTTCTTCTCAGCTCTGGTCTCAGCTTGTTCTGTTTTGTTGGTCAAATTTCTGCGTCAGATCCTAAAATTCAGATTAAACGCCAAGATGGCCGAAGGCCCGGTCAGAGACGCTAACGGGTCTCTGCAGAACCTGCCGACCCGGTCAGCCAACCAGCATCAGGATGTCCTGAATTCGCTCCGTCCCCGTGTGGAGACGGAGTTTAATTGAGAACAAATATGTGGAGGTTCTGCTTGTTGAGGAAAAACCTCCAGCCTCCAGGTCGCCCTCTGCTGGCCAGGCTAGGAAGCAGCTAACGGTTCAGATGTTGAAGGTTTCCTTCCAGTTCTGGACTAACGAGACCAGGATGAACCTGGATGAAAAGTTGGCTGCGCTAACCCAAAAGCATTTTTCAGAAATATTAGTTATGCTAATGCTGAAGCACTGTACCAGCATTTCACAGAAGCTAATGCTTAATCAATATGCTAACACTGCAATTAGCAAAAGCTAATGCTAAAGCAATAGGCTAATGCTGTATTTAGTGGAAGCTAATGCTAAAGCAATAGGCTAATGCTGTATTTAGTGGAAGCTAATGCTAAAGCAATAGGCTAATGCTGTATTTAGCGGAAGTTAATGCTAAAGCAATAGGCTAATGCCGTATTTAGCGGAAGTTGAGGCAACATGGCTGCATTTCTAAAGCATCCTGAATCCTGGCGCGTCCCAACCAGGGATTTAAAACCAGGTTTCTGGTTTAGCTCCACCTGGATCCGTCTCTGGATTAAGCTTTAATTCACCCTGAGCAGCAGGACCGGTTCTGGACCGGTTCTGAAGAGGTTGAGGGGGAGATCTGGATCCGGCTGGTGTCATGGCAGCTCAGTCCTGAACATAGTGGAGGACTCCAGAGTGAAACAAAGTTTGAACCGTTTTGGTTCTGATCAGGAGGAACCAACATCTTCATGCTGATTGGCTCTAATCCTCTCACCTCTTCCTCCTCTTCCTCATCTGTCTGGTTTTCATCTCTAACTTCATTTCCTTCACCTTCAATCTTCTGGTTCTTCACCTCCTTCCTCTTGTTTCTTCTCTTCCTCCTCCCTCCCTTCCTGTCCCGCTTTGCATTATGGGATTTGTAGGCTTCTACGGTCTGGACGAATCGGACCTGGAGAAGGTGTTCCGGCTTCCCACCACCACCTTCATCGGCGGCTCGGAGACGGCGCTGCCGCTCAAGGAGATCATCCGCCGCCTGGAGGTAGGCGGGACGCGTCGCCCCCGGGGGGTATGTAAACATGTGACCCTCTGACTCAGACTGTGTGTGGCTTCAGATGGCCTACTGCCAGCACATCGGGGTGGAGTTCATGTTCATTAACGACCTGGAGCAGTGCCAGTGGATCCGCCAGAAGTTTGAGACTCCAGGAGTGATGCAGTTCACTCTGGAGGAGAAGAGGACGCTGCTGGCCCGGATGGTCCGCTCCACCAGGTAGGCCTCGCCTGCGGGGCGGCCGGGGGGCGGGGCCGGGATCACCTGACCTCTGGCTCTGTTCAGGTTTGAGGAGTTTCTGCAGAAGAAGTGGTCTGCAGAGAAACGATTCGGACTGGAGGGCTGCGAGTCTCTGATCCCGGCTCTGAAGACCATCATCGACAAATCCTCCGAGAACGGAGTGGAGAACGTCATCATGGGCATGCCGCACAGGTAACCCCCGCACAGGTAACACACGCACAGGTAACACACGCACAGGTAACACACGCACAGGTAACACGCACAGGTAACACACGCACAGGTAACACACGCACAGGTAACACACGCACAGGTAACACACGCACAGGTAACACACGCACAGGTAACACACAGGTAACACACACACAGGTAACACACGCACAGGTAACACACGCACAGGTCACACACACACAGGTAACACACACACAGGTCACACACACACAGGTCACACACACACAGGTAACACACACACAGGTAACACACGCACAGGTAACACACGCACAGGACACACACACACAGGCCACACACACACAGGCA